ATTACTGTTATAAACATTATCAAAATGCACCGTAAGTATTCCAATAGACGACAAAATAAGAGTGACAGGCAAGTTCAGCATTTAACAACCCATCGTTGAAGAAATATAAAAACGTCACTCTGGTCATGAGTACATTTCTTTATTTTCCAACCCAATCGTCACGCAAAAACTAGTGCCCAAAAATTTAAGCCTTTACAGCCTGTAATATTAGAACTCAAGCCGCTAAACGTCATAATGAGATACACAGAAGAAAAAACTTCGGTTCTTCGAACTTTTGCATCCAAGCAACTTTATAACCCGACCTTTGCTCTTACTTTAAAAACTGCTTTTATTATTAGTATGCATTCAGTCGTTCGCGTCGTTAAAAAAATTGGGGGTTCAGGAAGGCCCACGCGGTCGTTGCGGTGCGGCTTTTAACGCCGCATTGGCAATAATTTTTCGAGTCACACCTCGTAAATCATAGGCTCGTTTCGGCACGTACCAGAGTGCAAAAAAAGACCGAAATTCTGACGCGCATCCACGATTGCATACGCTTTTATGAATATTCAAGTGTGTACCTATACTAGCGGATGTTGTAAGTCAGCGTTACATATGCCAGGCTGGTGTGGATTAATCAAGTTTCGTGCGAGTGTACGCGTTGGATTGATTTTTTTTCACTTTTTTTTTTTTTTTAATGGATACGGATAGCGCTGGTAGTAGTTGAGTGGGTGTAATTCATCAAGCCGGTGCCATTTTTTTATTTTGGAAGTTTTACTGTTGACACCGAGGCTATGGTTTTGTTGATTTGCAAACGCTCGGATGAATGTGTATTTATGGCGTGAGGGCTTTTTGAAAAAGAAGCGACGACACGACCAAAAAAATCTGGAAATTAATCAGTTTGTTTGGTTGAGGGGAGGAAGAGCGTACATTGCGAGCCCAGGATTTTTTGGAGGAACTAAATGAGAATTTTTATTCTATTGGGGAAGTAACATCTTTAATGGGTATTTGTGATTTTTTTATTCTACGTTTAAATAGAAGTTTTGCTACTGTATTACTGAAAATATTTTTTTTTAACCTTATAAAATATAAGCATTTCATTTTCTATGACCAAATGTAGCAATTTTCCGTCAGATTTTATTTCAAGTGATTCGATGAATAAGTCTCGGAGAAAGTTGTTAAGAGAAAATCTACGCAAGAATTTGACTAGGAATTTTCTTTAAATGAATTTTCGTTGTCATTATTTGACGATTAAACGTATGTAACTACGTTTTATATGTTTTTACGTCAGTGTACAATGAAAATTTTCACAAAATTTATATCAACATTTAAAAAATATTACATCTGTACTATGAATACAAATTTAGAAAATAACAGCAAATGAAAGTACATAAAGTTTCTAACTAACTGACTACGATTTTTTTTTTAACGTAATACTTCTTCAACAAAAAACAATAACGTGAATTTGATTAAGCCAATACAAATTGTGAATTTTGATTTTATTTCATAACATTGTTTTTTTACTCGACGAAACGAATTGTGAAAAAAATTTTACGTACATTTAAGGCAAGACAAAGCATGATTACATACTAAATATTTTAGCTCTGACGCTTTAACTTGAGTGTATAAGAATTAAAAATTATAAATTAAATTTCAATTTCCCTTTTTCATTTGAAAAACTCCTTGAGTACTTGCTTCTTAGGTTTCAAATTGAAATAAATGTTAACTAAGAAACTTGGTTGTTACAACAGAATTGACTCTGTTTTATATTGCAATATCTCTGAATAGTTCACAAATCAAATTTCTTGTATAATAGCTCATAAGTTAATATAAAAAAATCCATGTGATTTAAAAAAAACTCTTCAAGATAAGAAAAGTAAATTTTAATTTCTCCGTATACACGCAAAGTGATTATAATTATATCCGTACGTCTAGTTAATTATTCTAACAGTCTGGGTTTTCCTCGAAATATTACAAATGGTCACGAAAGCGAGCACGAAAGCCAAGATATAGATAGAGAGACAGAGAGTGGGAACTACTAAACTGTCGCCTCACGTGTTTGCTCGGTGCTCAGTATTCGGTGTTCAGCAATCAATATGTGTATGCCTGTGTACACATACATATATTCGGTAAATTTACTTATATTATGTGCTTGAATAAAAAAAAAGTGGGTGGAGAGATGGAGGCGTCGAGACGAGCCCTTTGAATAGGATATATATATATATATATATATACAGCGGAAAGTCAATTTTTTTTTATAGTATGGTATAGGTACATGCATACGTATATACCTATGTAAGTAGAGTTTATTAAGTGCAGTGCAAAATCGCGTGACGGCGCAAAAAAGAGAAGGAGAAAGCCCGTCATGAATGTCGACGACTTCTTGCGAGTACCTATAAGTACTGTACTAACTTACGTATTTCACCTCGCACCACTGTTTTTTTATACTTTGTTTCAAATTGCTTTGTGTACCGAGGAGTCGCATTTTTTTCAAAGGTGTTTATCGCGTTCAGGTGAGGAGAGTTATTGAGGCGCCAGACGGTATGCTTTTCGACGTTCACAGAAGTGGAGTATTAAATTTGCATTAAAACGTTGGTCACGATATAACATTGTTGGGACGAGGGACATCTTTTATTCTCAACACTATTGACTTAATTTGTTTTGATATGTTATGAGGAACCTTTATTTATCGTTAAGAGATAAATTTTACTTCACATTAAAGATGTAATTTTTCAATATCGATGATCATTGAGCTCGACACTTTGCTGTAAAATCAAAATTTTCCACTGTACAAACGAAAAACCGATTTTTCCATTACTTTTAGTGATTTTTGCGATCTGGGATATTTTGTCACTTATCAGAGAAAATTTCTTTGAACAAAAAAGTAGTATTTTAAGAGATCTACAATTATTTGTTTGACACTTAGTTTTAGAACGGATGGTTATGGGAAAACTTGACTTTGTCACCGTAATCATAATTTTCATGTATTGCAGAACTTTTTTTTAGGTCCACTTGCAAAGCTGGAAGTGCTGAAAATATTTATCAAATCCTTTCTGAATACAATCCATTACATGACCAGAGTTACTATGGAACAGTGACTCATTAACGCGTCAAAAAGATAACCCAACGTAGTATAACACGTATAATTAAAACAGCCTGCCTTTAACAATCAATCTGAAATCACCCATCAGTTGCATCATCACAAATACGACTTCTACACAATAATCGCGATGACCAAAAATGAAAAGACGAGCATGACAACTCGTGAGATCCGATTGTGAGTACGATCAAGCAGTCAATTATTTATATCCCACACGTTTGTACGCAGATCGACTTGCAGTGTGTCTACTCGTACACCATATCCGTGCAGGAACGCCCGCATACAAGTACACATACTTCAATCCATCCCTATCCATCAGTAAACGGGCGCGTGCAAGAGGAGAAAGAATGAGGTAGAAAAAAAACGGCACCAATCGTTTATCTTTTCGTCGTATCTCTAACACTCGAATCGACTATGAAGCCGATTCGACGCGCATTTCACAAGGGACAGTGTATAGGTGGGTGCACACGTGCCACCGAGGATTCATAATGAAACGTCAGAATCTCTGCACTGTTGGGCACAAAAGGGGAGGAAAGGGACTGAGGGATGATGGGTACTTCTCTTGTCAGTGATGGAAACACGAAGCAAACGAATGACGATTCGACGCGTTCGTTGGGTGACACGTGCCAGCGTCGTTAGAATCTGGAGTTTTTCCGAGTGTGCGGTGGTGGACGAGTGCGTTTGCTCGTATGTATACCTGCTGGGAGATGGTTGGCTTTTCTCTTTTCACTCGACGCGTATTAGATCAAGAGGTCTGATGGCCCAGCGGACGAGTTTGAATATTTAGGAAATTGTGTTTATTAATCTTCGTTTTCGGATGCAGGGGGTGCGACTGATGAGGATTAGCCTTGTGGTTCTAGGGGAGCTATTAGATTATGATTAATCTTTTTTAACGGACTCGTGTGCGTTTTTACCTTTATTGCGTGCTGATGAGTCTACATTTTTAGTTACACGGTGTATCATATTGTATAACATCATATATTATAGCTTCGATATTAGATAGGTGTTTTTTAGTGATTGACTTCTTCATCACAAAAAGTTATTCATTTTTTTGTATTAGAGCTTAGAGCTGGTTCAGCGATAAGAGTAAAACAACGCTGCTACAAGAAGTCGAGAATTTAATTCCCGGTAAAATCACTCAGTTGTTTTTGTGATACACAAAGACAATACACAGTGTACGTTAATTGCGACTACGTGGTTTATTGTACCTGCGATTATAAAGCAAAAAATGCAAATCATCGTAATATGTAATGTTAAGTTTCTATGAGTCTATAGTATTGTGTATATAATATATAAGTATAGAGTTCAGTTAAATTTAAGTGCAAACACCATAGATGGTGCTATGCACTCCATAATATTCTGTATGAAAAAAAAAAGTTGTTTGGGTATTGACTACTAGAGGAAGACGATTTTGATTTTTTTCGTATTGTCAGTGTTATACTATGAAGAATCTTTTTGTACATCGACAAATTTTTCAATAACTAATAGTGATACTATAGAATGAAGAAACGAACAATTTTTTTTCAACATAGCTACTTTTTACAGAAAATTGACGATATCACATAAATTCTATTTGAAATAGTTTACTCTGATGTACAACCTAATGAACGGCAGTTCAAAAATCGTTACACAAACTACTGTACGTGATACATATGCATATCGAATGGTGAACATCTAGTATTAATTGATTATTTAAATATTATATGTAATATTATGTGGCACTAAGAACATATTGACGACGATAACTTGAGATATTGACTGTTCGGTGCGTAAATATAAATTAACTGGTGTTTTTTACAAAATTTTATTCAGAAAACTTTACCCAATAACTGGAAGATACAGTACATATTTAATACTTGTTTCACATAGTAAAAAAGGTATTTTACATTTTTCAAAAATATATCAGATTTTTCACTTTTGTTGATTCTCTGAAATAGAATGCAAGATTCTATGAACAGTTGTTTCATAAGGAATGATTATACTTAATATAGATATTTATTCTATCATAACATTAAACATATTGCAAGTTTATGAAAGTCGAAGAACCTGTCCACACAATGTATCTGGATTGAAAACGAATAAATTGTTATGAGGTCGTTCCTTCTGAGAAACTGTTTTAATAATCTCTTGGCCCATTACACCTCCCACAATAGCACACACAGGGCTGATTTGTGCATATAGATCTCCACTAAAAGTTATTTTTTCCATCACTTACTGCAATTTTATTTTAAAAAATTTGTATGTACAAATACACTTACTTCAACAGATGATCCAACTTCTCACCAAGACTATACTTTTCAATCACTTTTTTGGCTTCATCCCTCAAAGCATTTAAACTCCTATCACTTGGCAATGGATCTCTCTGATGTTTTTCACGGAAGTTTAACAAAACTGTAAAGTCAATAAAATTATTTTTATGTCAATTGGCTTTAAATAGCCTTTAAATAAAAAAATTTCAAGTTAAACCAAAATTTTTAACTTAAAAATGACTTACTTAGCATTAAATAATATATTTCAGTATCTTTTGGCAATTTTTTAACATCCAGTATTTTTTCAAAAGGAACAAATTTTTCAAAACTTTTGATAGTAACTGTAATTTTTTCAAACTTTTCTTTTCCTGCATCAACACCATCCAGCACTTTAATTTTTTTATTTTGGACTACATCCCTAATTTGAAAAAAAAAATGAATTGTTTGCACACATTTGGGAATATTTTTTGTAAAAATGTTACAAAAACAACTCTAATGCATATTTGTAAAAACGATTGAAACTTACTCAGCAAACTCATGGTTTACCAAATCTGCAAATGTATAGCCAAAAGTTCCAAAAACATCTCCAGCAAAGAACTTTTTGTTGTATTTACGGCAGATAGTATTGACTCTCTTCATTTGATCAGCAGTACATTCAGAGACACAAACAACATCAAAATCCTTGAAATACTCTTCTGACTTGTCATCAATGTTAGCTGGATCAGCAATGACATTCACCATAGAATTCAAACTCTCTGCCCTTTGCACTGATGCTTCTGCCCTCTGAAACAGTCAACGTAATTAACAAGTCAGATATCCAATTTAGCGACTTTCGTGCAAGCAGAAATCAAATAACTTACGTTTTTTCCAACTTCAGTGCTTGGGATAAAGAACTGGTTACAGGCATCTAAATCTGTAACTGAACGATGGTCCAGAAACGTGACTGACTTAACTCCAGCAAGAATAATGTTCTTGGCCACCTCTGCATGATATCCATTTAATCCTGCCAGCAGAACACTTGCAGCCCTGAGACTACAAAAACAAATATTTAATGTAATGTAAGACAATCACTGACAAAGGTTCAATTAACTGATATTGTATATACCAAAAACTGATAAGTGATAAAGAACCTATTATATTTAAAAAACTAAATTAAAATACTAAACAAACAATTCTGTCATGCGTCAGTATAAAAAATAAACGTTCACTCTGAAAAGACCGGTATAAAATAGGTTATGTAAGGTATCTCACCGTTTTTGCGACTCGAGACCCCACAAACGAATCTGCCTGTCGTACAAAGCAGCCTCATCTTCTGTCAGTTCTTTACTGTAGTCCAAATCAACCATTTTTCAAAACCTAATTTTGTATTATCACTGTAAAACTCTTTACAATAATCAACAAGTTGACAACAATGACAACACTTCAGGTAACGCGGCTTCAGGCTTACCTATAATTTCTGCAATGGAACTGTGTGGACACTCATTATTTCTGCTATGGAAGATACATGTGATATATATATATATTTTTTCAACACGTGTTCTATAGACATGCGCATATTACGTATTCTAGACAGTATCGACACCTCGCGGATGGCTGAATGCACTATTGCACTACAAATATCCTGCAAGCAACAAGCTATGAGTTTTCTTATGTTGGTAAATGTGTGATGATAAAAGCGCGATTGACTTTTGAGTGACTCACTCCAGTACACCTATATATATATATATATATGCATACGACTTGTAGAATGTCTAATTCGTACTGTAGACTGTAGTAGCCTTACAGTTGGTAACTTGGTACTGAGTAAGCTTGATGTTGTGTTGGACTCTGACTACACAACTTTTGCTCTCTCTCAACGTAGCAGTTTGCGTCCAGAGATACTTACAATGTTAAATAAAAAATGTATGTACATATCAACAAGCAACTTTAATTACGGAATGTCATGTGAACGTACAGAGTGAAGTTCAGGCATAAAAATGATGACGAAAGTACTCTGACAGTGATTATTTAGTGATTTAAAAATATTAGTCAATAAAGTGTTATTTATTTATTTATTTATTTATTTTTGTTAATGAGTGTTCGATAAGCAACAGTGTCAGTTAAGTGATTTTTATCATGAAGAATTATTTTTCAAATTGAAATACTGCAAGATTTTTATTTTTACATGTAGGGATTTTAATTTGATTTTTTCTCTTTAAGTTATTATTTATACATTGTATTAATCGTTAATTTCAGCAATAATTTTTTTGAAGTTCATTTTCTGAATCATTTTCGAAAAGTGCAAGTTTATTTTATCATGGAAGAAAATTGTATTGAAAAAACATTTATCTTTAAATTCCCAACATGTACGTCAAATCAAGAATACACTTTAGAAGTTCCTTTAAAGATTCCTTTTCAAGGATCAGTAAAGGAAATGGTGCATCGAATGATGACGTCTTTTAAACTGCCCAGTTATATTGAAGCTGATCTATTAGAGTTTTTGAATATCAACATTAAACAGTGGACTTTAAAATTTCATGATGATAGAGCTGAAAAACTGCTTGATGCAGCCAAAAAAGGTAAACTTGATGTAGAAGAGGTCATCAAAAATTGGGAAAAAGCTTACAAACAAAAAACTGTTGAGCATGCTGAGCCATTAGGAACTTCAGATGAAGAGCTTTTTGCTGCAGCTTACCACAAATTGGTTCATTCTCCATCATTGGAGCCTATTTTACAGGCTGAACATAAATTTGGCAAAGATGTCACAGAGGTCGTCCAAATGAGAGATAAAGACTATGAGCAATTAACTCTAAAGTAATTATTTGTATACAATCCATTAGAACATGACATTTTAACCACAGTTAACTCTTGTCAATTCTAGACAAACTGAGGAAATGCGATTGGCTGTGGAAACTCTTGAGTCTGGTTCAACTGAAAAATCAATCAATGACATGGCAGGTCGTCACTTTGAGGAGCAAAGCTTATTGCAGGGCCAATGGGGATCTAAAATTGATGCTCTTAAACTAGAACAAAGGAGACAGTACAGGAATTGGATAATGAGATTGTTAGAAGAGCAGCAAACGAATATGGTTCCTACCCCAGTGTAAGTAGCTATCACTAAATTGGAAAATTAATGAAATAGCTTTGTTTTGTATATATCACATCAAATTTGTAATCATTTAGGGAATCTCCAATGGTTTCTATGCCACCACTTGGTCCAGGATTAAATGATTTTATTAAAACTGACGAGAAAAATACTTGTGATTACCAGCAATTGGAAGAAAGTTTTACTATACACTTAGGTTCTCAGTTAAAACAAATGCACAATATTAGAATACTCACAGGTGATGTCCTTGACTTTTGCCAGACGAGGAATTGTAATTCAGAGTATGTATCCTATGAAATTACTTGAAAAATAAGTATAAAAAGCAATTCTAAATTTGATTTTTGTTTTTAGAAGCTTAGATCCTACTCCCCAGAGATTACAAACTGCTTTAGGGCTATATTCTAACGATTTGTGTGGACTGGTCCTGTTGAGTGATAATCATTTAGGTAGCTACTCAGGAATGACTAAAGGTTTGTATACATTACAATATATGTTTGCATTAATTTCTATTATTCTTAAAATTAACATTAAGAATACATACTAAGTAGTAACTATTTTAGAGCTTGCTTCAATATCACAACTAACAACAGAGTTTCACTTCCTTCCCATTGATGAACAACTTGAAAAAATACGAGAAGATGTAAAAGAAGCTGTAGCTTGGAGACAAGCTCATCATAAAGAAGATAATGATGTGCAGGTTTGTTGTTTCAGTTATAGAAGATTAATTCTATGAACAATACTATAATTTTAGTTAATTTTTGTGTTTTAGCAACAAAATAAAAAATCTACGTCGAGCAAAACGTTACAAACTGGCGATGTTTTTATTACAAGGCATTCCAATTTAGCTCAAGTTCATGTTGTATTTCATATGGTAGTAAATGATTCTCTAAGATCAGGTAAAATATATTTAATTTTGATCTAAAAAATTTGTTTAATTTACATTTTTTATTTTATAAAATATTTATAGGAGACATAAACTCAAGACACCCAGCTATTTTAGGTTTAAGAAATATTTTAAAAACGGCTTGCTGCAATGATGTAACGACTTTAACGATACCTGTTCTTTTGGTGCATGAGATGACTGAAGTAAGTCAAAATTATACTTACTAAAAAAATTTATTTAGAAACAAATTTAAAACATAAATTGTGATTTTTAGGATATGACGGTTGCTTGGTGCACCAAAAGAGCTGAACTTGTATTTAAATGCGTTAAAGGTTTTATGATAGAAATGGCTTCTTGGGGAGGTGCAGAGTTGAAAAATTTGCAATTTTTAGTTCCTAAGGTAAAAAGTTATTTTCATTTTTTTTTTTTTTATTGTGTCAAGCTTAACATTATCATTTCCTTATTTTCAATAGGGAATGTCTGAAGAGGTTTTTGGAACCTTAGCGACCATGCTGCCAAGTATTTTTAGAGTTTCAAACCCATTGATTTTTAAAGCCACTAGCACACCACAGACACCGAAAAAGTGACGCAAAAGCAGTAGTAGTGTACATTTTCATAATTGTATATATAAATTATAAATATTTCGTTCATACTCTCTATGTATTATGGATCGTGATTCAATTTATCAACAATTATACATAAACAATTAGTTGTAAGAGTAAACATTTATAGGCTGCAATTTTTTTTATTCTTATTGTGTGTAATATTTCAAGACTGACGACTTGTTAAAACCTTTTTAACAGCCTAAAGATGATACTAATGTCATATTTTTTACTAATTCGAAGAAAAAAACGCTTTGTTATAATTAACATTGCTACTATTGAAAAAATTGAGAATCTAATAGCTAGAGAATTAAAAATAAAAGTAATTGCATTACTATTTTAAAACAAAAATACAATAAATTTTCACAACTACTTTCACAGCAGTGCATATAATACGTATAGTAAACTGCATACAATGGAGAGGGTGAAATTTTTTAAATTGAAAACTGTAAATAATAACAGTCGATGTATTTTATCATCATGAACATTAATTTTTTATAAGAGCACACATTTATATGTATGTATACTATAATCGACAAAGAATAAATTACTTATTAAATGTTAAAGGTAGTTTTCAATCATTTCATTTGTATTATAATTTCGCGAAATTTAGACGCAAACTCTACAAATCATCAATGTATTCATAAATTAATATTAATATGTCTCTTCCTTTACAGTGACCAAAAAGTAGGGAGGGTCATCACTGTTTGGCCTATTGATCGTTACATCTTTATCAGATTTTTATTTTCGTAGATTTTTCCTTTTAACAAACATCAAACCACTCGTACTACATTAATACGTAAAAGTTTGAGTACCAAACGCAAATTTCAATAACGCACTGCTTGCATTCTCGAACTACTTTTCTACTTAAAACGTTGGTCAAATTTCAGATGCCATTGCATATTAAATTTTATCGGAATCTCCGCGTTAGTTACGCACACGAGCTTGTATGAACATACACAAGTCATATCAAGCTCATCACGAGAGAGCTAGCAAATCGGCTTATCGAAGAAGTCTTCGGGCAAAAAATTCCAACGACACTTGTCTCGGCAAAATTTTTCTGCGACTCTGACAGAGAGGCACCACCACCGCGGCTCTTCGTTCGGCTAATTATAGCGCGAACTTTCGCAACAAAACCGATAACACTGCGCCCGGGCGCAAGTTAATTGAAAAATACGCGCAATCTTCTGAGTCGTCCGCGATTATCCGCTGAAAACAATTAATTGTATCTGTATGTACTTACTTGGTACAAAATAAGTAAAATGAGTGCAAGATAAAATGAAAAATATATTGATCGCAGTATTAAAGATGGAAACGTTGTTAATGGTAGCATTAATATTTTCTAAATTTTTTTTTTTTTTTTAGAAAAAAATTTGCTTGGATATGGAAAATTCACTCTGTTTTATTTGCTCAATATTATAATCGAATGTTACTGATCCATGAACAACCTCATTAACTGAATTGAAACTAAGACTTATTTAGTCTTAAACTAAACTTCAGGAGTCGTTCTAGATCATCTGCAAATGACTTAAAGTCATCTAAAAACTAGTGTTCACACTTAAAAAGTCTACTAATCGAAATGATAAAAATTTGGCACTAATTAGAGTTTTCGCCAATACTTCAAAGTTGTTGACCCCTTGCACTCAGTTCATAGAATGATGATCGTAAGTAAAATAAAAATTTGGCTAAATATCGTTATCACAAGTAGAGGACACAATAACAAAATCCCAAAAACATGGCAAATTCATCCACTCCCCTTCTTCGGGGCGCAAATACCATCTCGATTCCCTCCAATACATGAAGAGTTGCATGCGAATCGGACGAGAGCGGACGAGAGATTTAATCCGAAATTATCTTTTCGAAGTGTGGCCGCCAGAAGTCTCATCGTAGCTCTGAACTTCTGACCTGCTGATGAATTCTCTCTGCCGCTCACGCGGATCGTCCATCGGTGGCAACTCGCTCGGATAACGGACTGCCATCGGTTTGCGGTGTCCTCATCGAGCTTTTGAAAACGTTTTTTAGTCACTAAGTTTATTTACCTTTTCACTGTACAGTCGAAAGTGCTAAAAAATATCAGAAGCGAAAATGGTCTCTCGATTCAAACTTGTGGTCCTGTCCCTTGGATACCTGGTTCACTACACAGCGGCGTACGATTCTCTGAAAACGGTAAGCTTGCACCTTTGTCGATTGATGGAACGAAAAACATTAAATCCCATATACTTACTGTTGGCTTTCATAATTGCTCTAATGATTCGCGACGTACTAGCCAATTGTAGATTATCTCGCTCAAGAATTTCGCAATTCTCATGATAAAGCGTGCTAAAGACGCTGGTAAATGCGTGGAAAGGCCGCAATGATCCTATATGCAAAAGGCAAGATTTTAACTGCCCATATTTACGTATCTTAAAAAATCTATGTTGCTCTCAATAGAAAAACAATTGTAAAAGTTGATGAAAATGTGTATCATATTATTTTAAAGTAATAATATTTGTAGCTTACGATTGTCCTTTTTAATAAGATCAATATAGCTCATGGGTTATAAAAGAATACGTGGGTCAAAAATGAAAACGAGTCCAATATGTATATATTTTTAAAAAGAAGAAAAAATATTTCCACGTCTAAAGCCTCCTTTGAGTTTAATAGGTCGACCTGTCAAACCGCGGCCTTGCACGGGAGGACTTCTTTATCAAGCTTCAGCACCAAATCGACATGCGAGAAGTCAACGAGCTGATACTGCGGGGCAACAGGTTCGACAGCTTCATTGATTGCTCGACAAAGCTTGACAGCCTGCGTATCCTCGATCTCTCGTACAACAATCTCAGGAAGTTCTTCTTCCTCTGCCAGGAGGAGTACAACTTGGTCTCGTTGAATGTCAGTCACAATGAAATCGAGTACATTAACGACGAGGCTCTGAGCCACAGGGTCATCAACCTCAAGATACTCGATGTCTCCTATAACAAACTTTACGTCGTCAACGATACTATGTTGCAGCACATGAAGGTATGAGTGTATTTTTTTTCTTTGCTTTCAGCAACTGTGATTTAGTGAAATTTTACTCACTGGCGCAAAAAATTCAGAGTATTCACTTATATATTGAAGTAGTTAAAAAAAGAAGCCACCGCGAATCAGTACATGATTTCCGGTAAGATCAATCAGAATTTGACTAGTGAATGACTAAAAGTTTAGTGAATATTCACTGAAAAACAATGAATAACATTGATCGTTAGATTCTTTCACTAAAAATATATGTGAATTTTTCATCAACTCGGTTTACGAGATTAGGAATGGGTTATGTTTACTTTTACTCCTAGACAGAAATTAAAACAGAGACAGAAATTGAAGCATTTCAAGAATCGTGTAAGCATGTTTCCGTGTACTTGTGGGCAGTCAAAAAAACACTCCTTAAAAAAAAACATGATAATGTCAGAATATCAAGCCATAAAACTGATTTTTATTTATCAGCTTTCGGGCTTGCGAGTCAAGTACTCGAATTTATGCGAGAGATTGTGAGGGTGACATTGTACTTTAGGTTGCAAGATGTTAACAATTGGCTTTTTAAAATTACTTATCGATAATCTTTGATCATGCTTATACACTAATTTCGCTAATTTTTCAGTAAACACTTACTCTTTATTAATTTCCACTGACCAACTAATAAATATTCAGTACAAAACGGTGGAATCTCATTGATGTATGAGAATACAAAGCCAAATTTTTCTTACTTTTCACAGATTCATTTAAATGTTGAATAAATTTACTTTGGAGTGCATCCTAAAGAAAAATAACAAAAAATAAGGATATAAAATAATTCCACTGGGTTTTACTACAGTAATCACAAAATTTCAGAACCTGGAAGTTCTATCGCTCGCAAGCAATCCGATCGAGGAGAACATTGACTCATGGGTCTTCCAAAATCTAACGCAGCTGAAGCACTTGGACCTACGCAATATTTCGTCCCCGTACTTCTCCCCAATGCTCTTTGAGCCACTAACGAATCTCGAGCATCTGGACCTGTCCTACAATCCGATCGAAGACGTGCCACCCCTGCCATCAGGTCTCAAAGTCCTTTACATTTGTGGCACGAACATCCTACACCTGGGCAGCTTTGTGATGCCCCAACTGCGCGTTCTCGCGCTGGAAAACTCGTTAAACCTGACATCGGTGCTTCTTAACAACTTCGAAAACCTAACGCACCTCGAGATCCTGTCGATGCGCGACTCTCCAAAGCTGGCCCAGCTAAGGCTCAGGCCCATGAGCATTGGATCGCCACTGCTACCCCAGCTCAGGCAACTGTCCCTGCAGGGCTGCGCCCTCGAAACCCTCGACGCCGATCTGCTTCCACTCGTAGAGAGAGTTGCGGTGCTCGACTTTCAGAACAATCCCTGGAAGTGCGACTGCCATATGAAGTGGCTGAATGCCATCAATATGACCATCGATCTTGTTTATAGCTTCAGGTAAGCAATCTTTAAATTTGTTTGAAATATTTTTATTTTTTTGAATAAAGTATTGATGATCGAGAATTTATTGTCATCGAAATATGGCAACTTATCGACATTTCTCTGTCAAACTTTGTTAAGATACTCGTAGGTGGCGCTAAGAGTTTTTTCATCTCAGAATAAAAATCATTTACGAGTTCATACTTTACTTTAATATTTTATCTTCAATGTGTGAAATTGTTGAAATACCGATGTTTAATTGATACGAAGTTGTAGGTTATTTCATTATTACCGGCAAGTTGCTAAATTTATGAAAAAAATAAATACATTATTTCGTGATAGGCACTACTAACATTAATCTATCACACCACAGCAAAATGTGTTATTTTATATCATACATGAGAATAATGATACCTGATTTAAAACGATCCTCAATGTTTTGAGCGTCCAAATGATAATATAGGTAAAAATTGTTTTAAAATTTTGTGTATACTTTTAAAGGTTTCCAACTTTTTTTTTATAATTTTGTCATACAAGATTGATTTCTTCCTGTAATATTTTTACAGGAAAATGCATAATGAAAAAAAGACGTTTTTTTTAGATGCTTACAACATAATAAACAAAGTAAAACGTCAATTAGAAATGTTGTGACCAAAAAAAAGTATTTCTAAAATTGTTAACAGAGTTTATTAACTCACAACGTGAATTACCCGAATCGCCCTAACTTATTCAATGATAAAAGTTTTTTCAAGTCCAAAGGAGACTTCTCATGTATAACGGTTACACTTTTTGCTGCGGTAAAAATATGAGATACCTCACATGGATCAGTCGTGCCAAAAAATTATTTACATTGCTGCTCAATTTCTCCGAGTCAATTTGACAGTGGTACAATAGCGATTCGTCAAAGTTCGAGTACTGTCCCAAAATAAAATAAAAGACTATAAAATAATTCCCAACATTTCCCCTCCCCTCAAAAGTATTCTCAAACAAAAATCTAATTCCCCCGTTTTTTGCTGTGAACTTTCTTCGCTCAGATGCCAGACACCAGCAAGGTACCGAAACCGATTGCTCAACAACATCACGGACGATGAATTGGAGTGCAAGAATTCGCTTAAACCTAGTATCGGTATGATGGTCCCGGGTACGATCCTCTATCCCATACTTTGGGTTAGCTTGGTCATACTGACTGTGGTTTTGTTGGTGTTTTCAACTCTACATTACTCGCGAGGCTGCGTCACTCAGCTGCTCATAAAAATACGCCATAGGGGTAACGACACGATCAGCTACACCACTGTCATAGAGACGACCAACGACACGATTCGGATACTACCGGTTGCAGATCCTCAGGATGCCGAAATCTTACCGAATAAGTATCAACAAACAGGGAATGAAAAGACTCCTTAGACGTGCGATATGGCAGATAAAACATACATGAATTTTTATGATGTTTGAGGAATTACAATTTCAGATTACGGGACGTTGGGTCATAACACATTTTTCATCGTTGGTTGAGTAGAACAAAATCGCTCACGGAAGCAAGATATATTTCACTGTGACGATGGATCATACACTTATATGTTGACTTCAATGATATTAATGTCACAATGTTTTGTATTAATAATCAATCATATTATTGTCATGAATTTGATGCATCTATCAGTGCTTAAAATTAATTATTAAAACTGCAAAGATTGTCATTTTTCTACGGAACATCAAGTAACGCTAGATCTCAGTTAAAACTTGACATTATTGTTATATAATATTAAATTGTACTTATACTGCGTATTTTTGTTCACAAATAACATTTTACATTAAAAAGTTTGACAACTCAAGGTTCCTCATGTCCTCAAAAAATCGAAACATCCCAAAAACTTATCGATGGCACGTGTATTATCAACTAAACTATTAATTACAATAATGCATTGAAAAGCTGCTATAAAAATCCTCAAATCAACCGCAGTTAGACTAAAACAAAGCAACACACGAGGGGTCCACGTAAGTGCTCGTTTTCACAACAACAACAAAATATAAAAACATCTTGAAATCGTCAGCCACCCACTGCTATCCATTTCTAATACACCAACAATAAAAAATACATCTATTGTACCCTTTAATTCTTTTGTAGTTGCCGCGTACAACTACGTACACAAAAGAAGAGAAGAGACCAACGGCTCGCTGGCCCCGAATGCGCGATTTTTCTCGCCACTTAACGATGCAACGCTGCAGACGCATCACGCGCACTGATAATCGAAGTGCCGCCGCCACTCACGCAGCCACGTTTCATACGCGCCATAGCTGCTTTTGGCGAATCTTTAGAAAAAATAAACGGCTCATCGGACGGAGGGACTCTCTCCTTTTATTTCAAAAAGCAACGGTTGCACGAATATTTTTTGTTACTAATACTGATACACTCGACAGTGTTGCTTCAGAATGCTGTCCTGATTCTTCGGGAAGATCAGTCAAGCCTGAACTTCTAGAGGTCAGGTAAGTAGGAGCGAGTTGCTGTTCACGGTTTAGTTGACTCTGTGCTTCAATGGCTAGGAGATTTTTTATGTTGCAGTAGTCTTTGAATACACACCAGTTGCATTGGCCTCAACGTCCCATTCGTTAGACTTTTAATTAATAATTGAAGTCCGTCGTTAGCTACTTTTTAAAGATCTAAATATTAGTATTCGTTATTATATCGTTCACATACTAAGTCTTAGACTTGGACTAATTTACTCTCAAGAGCTTGAATGTCGATTCTAACTTACAAACGTTTGTTTTAAAATTTCATAGAATGTTTATATGTATAAAAATTGAAGACACATCATATTCATGACAACCAAAGAAGATTCAACGGTGTTCCCACGCAGATTCCATGAATTTTTTCAATATATGCACAAAAACAAGAAATTCGATAGTTCGCAACAATTACAGCACCCAAAGAGTTCACAAAATATCTGATTAATAATATACTAAGCTAAATGAAAGATACACTCGGTGACGAACACTTACAGAAACAACAACAGAAATAGAGATAGAAAAAGTTATTTAAGACAGATACAGAAGCGATTTTGAATTAAAAAATCATGAAGACTATTGAACAAGCACATAGAAATATGAAATTAAAAAAGCTTATATCACAAATTAATTAATAAAAACATAGTGAAATTATACTTGAAGCAAAAAAATGGATTAGAGAAAGATACACAGAGACTTAACAAAAAGGACAAGGATGATAATTTTTATGATTTATTTTTGACACACAAAATGCAGAAAATAACATGGGCATAATAGTTCAGACGAAGATACACAAAATAAAGAATTAAAAGAAAGAGAAACAGGTACAAGATCAAAGTAATAAAAACTTCGAGGCTAAAGATCACAAAGGATAAAAACTTGGAAACAAACAATGCATTATCGAATCCGTATAATAGATATACACAGGAACAAAAATCTATAGGTATTGAAGTTGAATAATTTGCAAAGCAATGCAAATACCGTAAACCATACAAGATATAGAGGAGAACGAGACATAAAAAAACAGAATTTAAAAATATAAAAACACCAGAAGGAATAACTCTACAATAAATGGAACAAAATAATTTACCACCTACCACATTGAATTCTTCATAATTCAAGTTTTTTTATTAACTACATTACGTTACGGCGTAATTTTTGTTCACTAATCATTATTTTAATACATCTTGTATATGTTACTAATTTTTTTCTATGAGATAACGATAAAAATGACTACTTAATCTTCTAAATATTCGTATTTAATGGCATTCAGAGACAGCCAACTAAGGCGACTAGTACATGGTAAGCTATTTGGTAAATCAAAAGTCTTGATTTCATCAAATAGGTTTGTTCGCTCAAGTAGCTTTACATTCGTTACAAATTTGTTTGTTGATGATAAAGTTGTAAAATTACACCGGGTACGAAAATGGCTATTAAATTTACTAGTAATTGAATAATACATTTTGTTAATTTTAAAGTTCTGCTGTAGCCAAGCAGAAGCATTTCTAATTTTTATAAGAATGTGGATATCACAATAAACGTGATCAAAATTTAGTACTTTTCAATTGGTTTTTACAAAATTTTTTCCTTTTAAATGATAGAGATACCTAATGTGAAATAAGTAACGTAATAGATGCATCAGTGTAGTAAAAATTAAACTTTTTACCTTTGATTATGACTTATAGAAAAAAAACTACTGCTTTATAGTGTATTTATCAAACCGATAGCTCTTCAAACGGGACTGTCTCGAGCTAAAATTTTCTCTTACATTGCGGGTATACAACGTAACATGTGAATTTTGTACGTATGTGTATACACGTATAGGTCAAAATTAACTGTAGCGTGTATGGTCCTAAACTACCTTTTTGCATCGACGGATATCGAGCCGCAAACTTGACGTATCGAATATCATATTTTTTGTAAGTAATCCAAGAAATAAGCCTCTGCCAATTTGCAGCCATCAGAAGCTGCGTGTAGCATGAATATATCTATCTATAAATACGACGTATTATATGTCCACTGAAAAAATAATACTGTGCGAGTATCGAGTCTCGATCTAACTTCACAATCGGCCGGCAATTTTAAGGAGCTCGCGTACTTGACGCTGTCCGATTTTTGTCTGCTCCTTTCTGTTTAGATTACCGGGTGGTTTCGTCGATTACGTATTCAGCGGCAGCCGCGTAGGTATTAATTTTCTACTCATGATGTGGATGCATTCATATGGAGGGAAAAAATGTTGTCCTTTTTTTCAAACCAAGCCAGGAGAGCAAGAGATCACTTTTTTTGGGTAGGGCTATCAAGTTTCCGAGCTGTCTGTGCTCTGCTATCGGTTCTCGAGTTATTTTAGAGTAAGATAGAAAAATAACTTCACTTCAGTGCAACGACTCTAGACATCAAAAAACGTTTAAATATAGTCGCAAGATACGTTTTTTTCCTTTTTGGAAGTAATATGCAGTTACTCATGTGAGTGGTGACAAAAAAAAGCTCTTTGAAAATGAACTTATAACTGCACGAATTTTTTTTCTACAAACCACAAAAATCCATTTTTTCTTTCGATACTACTTTGAAAGTTTACAATCCAAAACATCTTCAAAAGTCAGCAAACATCAATCTCCTAACCTTCAAATATGCAACTATTCATGTAACGTATCACACAATCTTTGTTATCTATTCGTGCAAAAAAACGCACGTGCACACCAACCACAAAGCATAACAAATAAAAACGCGTTCTATCGACCATTAGATGTGAGCTTCAACATTCATCTGATTCGTATGTACACACTCATGTACACCTATAGGGGTGCAAAAATACTAAAAATAGCGAAGGGGAGGGGCCAAATCTCCACCGCAGCCACCAGAGACAGAGAGCACTCTCTGGCCCGCTGGTGTATCACAGGCGCGCTGATGCGTGCGTAATCCTTACAGCCCTACGATAACCATCGCCCATGGACATACGTGTATATATATGCCCGCTCTCTGATGATCGAGGTTTTATTTTCATTATTCGTTTGTTCGGCCCGATGATCATGACGTTCCCTATGGACGGTGAGCGTGAGTTGATATACCTATCCGACGACGCTAGTGGCTTACTAGCGTAAGACCCCGTGTTTCCATGTAAATTAAATCAGATAAAGTAACTCGTGCTGCGTTTGAGGCCTATGCTGAGATGACCTGGAATCGAGGTGTGAACACGTATAGGTACGCGTGCGTGCGCTTCTCCTCTGTTTTTGAGTCTTTTTTTTACTTTGTTTTTTTTTTCTTGATTGATTTTTTCCCACAGAAAAAGAAACAAAACTGAAACCATAAAGCTATTTTTAATCTACCAATGAACAATTATTCTTCATTTAAATATATTTTCAGTTTTAATTACTAGTGTTATCTCTTGGACCAATAAGAATCCCTCAGTTTAGTCTAACTTTTGAAGTCACTAAGGATCACGCTGGTTAAGATTACCTCTGAAATTGACAAGAATCACAACTTTTAACCTATCTTCAAGGTCAACGAAGATTAAGCAACTCGAACCTTATAATTTTACTATTAATTAACCCCAACGGTCACATAACTGGAATCCATGTCTATCCACTAAGAGTCACACATCACCAACTAACCACTGAGGCTGCTTATCATCACTTAGTATGCTTTTACCTCTGGAGCCGATATGGATTACGTAGCTCAAATATTTCCCTTAAACTTTCAAGAATCGCACAGCCTAATATTACTTTTAAAGCTGCCAAGGGTAACACATCTACCAAACTGAAATTATTTATATTTTTATTATTAGTGTTGTTGTTATTGCTTTCACATTTCGCCTTCTTGCATTTAGGATAATAAGGATTTTTAGTTTATATTTAATTATGGTATTCGTAAATTTTAAACATACATTACATATACACGCTCATAAAATTTTTATATGAGGTAGTAACGAATTTTACTAACAATGTCCCTTAACTCAAGTACAGTTGGCAAAAACATCCCAATAATGCGCAAACTACAAAGGACAACTCAAGACGATCCAGTCTAAAGATTTTAATTCTAACATCGTTAACTATACTCTTCATTTAGCCATTGTTTTGCGACCCTTCCCCCTCCCAAATACTTCCAGAATCTTCGGTCAAAACCAATTGTCTTTAATACATTCCACTTAATTAAAACCGCAAAGTACATCTAGCAGATTAAAAAAAAAAAACAAAAAAAAACAAAAGCCCACAAAGATTTGCTCGTACCCATCCGGATTTCCTCCCTTTAAATAATCTAGAGAGCTGCAAACCTGTACGC